ATCTTCTTCTGCTTACTCCATCAGGGTCACGGTTGGGCTAGTGCTTATAACCAGCACTCTATGGGCAAAAGGTGGGGCACATCCTACAGGGCGCCAGTCCATCACAGAAACATCCACTCACACCTAAGGATAATTTAGAGATGACAATTAACCTAACAGTCATATGTTTAGACTGTGGGAGGAAGCCGGAGTCCCCAGAGAGAACCCACACCTGCACCAGGAGAAACTGCAAGCTCCATTCAGAAGGACCCTTGGTCTGGAATTGAACCCATAAACTTGTTGCTGCAAGGCAACAGTGCTACAAACTGCACCACCGTGCAGCCCTCAAAGCAACATCTCTAAAAAATAATTTGCTTTATTAAAGGGGCATAGTCCCCTTATAGTAAATAACAATGTAACACAATGTTTAATAATTAGAAAAATAAGGTAATATTCACCAACTTTCCATTCGGATCATTAATTCATTTTTGAGCCAAAATAGATTCCTGCACTGGGTGCCATGAGCTGAGATTAACAGATGTGAAATAACTACTGGCAGTACTGAGCCTGACCTTCCTGTATTCCCTTGAGATTGTAGTATGTAGTTTGTGTGATACAAAATTTGGCAAAAAAACTTTTCATTGGATTGAAAACAAATGAAACCCTCAATAATATTGTTGATGATCCCTGAATTTATCTTAATGGTGTTTGCACTTAGGACTATGAAAAGCATTGCTGTGACTAGTATCCATATTAATTGAGAATTTTACTCACCCATCCATCAAATTTGCAGCAACATCCAAATGCCCCAGCAACTTTAGCTACTCTTCAGTGAACAACGCTTGAATAGTACCCAGGACTATTTGAGTCTCATTATTCTGAAAATCAAATATTTTTGTGCGATTTTTACACTTGGAATTTTCTTCTCTCTTTTTGCACCTCCACTGGAAGGTACTAACCTGCTTAGACTCATTATTTCCTTGTTTACGGCTGCCTCTGGTCCTACAGTGTTGTTATTGTAAATATACACTGAAGGGCTTAATTTACTAAAAAAAATGAACCAAAGAATAAAATGATAGACAATAATATTAAATAATACACCAGGACAGTTAACCAGAAAAAAAAAAGTATGCAACCGGACAAAGCTGTTATATAAATTTGAAAAGTAATATAACAATACTGTGTCCCTTTAAGTGAAATGCAGAACCAAGGAGTTATTTTCGGCTTTGGAGACCCCAGATAAAGCAGATCAAAACTGTGATCCTGTCTCAAAACGACCAAAGCTAAAAGTGCAATGCCTTAATTTGAAGGTTAAAAATGAAGTTTAAAAAATGAAATGGATCCAAGGGACCAATCAGCTACAGGATCACTGGCCCCTTTTGACCACTGTCTACAACTGCCCAAGCCTCCTGTAACAGTTAGGGTTTAAACCTAGGACCTTTTCTAGTGCAAACTAATGTCACTGACCTGTCCTTTTAATATTTCATTGTATGTCTATTTGCTTTTACCATCTTATTCCTCATCTCCACCTGTGAAATGAGTTCCTTCATAGCTGATTGTCTCATTGTCCTGCTGTACAATAAAATCAATGCACCACCCTCTGAGCAGTATAATGTGGGTTGTTGCATTTTACAACAGACCTCCAGTCTACTTTGCAGGACATCCAAAGTCTCAAAGCATTACCAGCAGTCTGTACCCTCCCATTTACTTTAATTTATTCCAATGACATCACACAGTCCCAAAAACCTGGTTTATCATTTCTTTGACTCTTCTATAGTTAAACTACTATGCTCTGTCAAAGATAAAGCAGCAAATTTTACTGTTTTTAACCCAAAGTGTTAACATTCATTGTAATTTCCCTTGTTTGGCAAACTGTTATTTTTTGAATTTCCTCTGGATGTGTCACAAGTTTCCTTGAATAAAAAGCTTGATTACAGCTGCAAATGAACCTTCAGATTGTTAAGTTGACGATAAAACCAACTGTCTGGGTTAGCTTGAGACAGACCATCTTAAAGGCTTGGGAAAAGAAGTTTAGATGCCGTTAAGTGACTTTGTTTTATTTATACCCCTTTACAATGCAAATTGGTACTATCCTGTTTACAGGCAATTACATAAGTAGATTCTGTACTGGGGGTGGGGGGGTTAATGCTTCTTCTTTAAGTAATTTAATATTTTGTACAAAACTTCACCGTGGTAAACAAATATTTTAATCTGAGGCTGAAGAAAGCACAAACTAGGAGTAGTTTAAAATAAAAATATGTTACTACAACTACAGCTTTTAATGGGAATTCTAAAAGCAGAATATCGCCATCTAGTGGATCAATAATAGACGTTCCACAATCTAAATAGGAAACTCAAAGAAAAAAAAACATTTTATGTGAGACTAAAGGTTTGAGATGGACAGAAATAATTTTCCCCACATCTGTTGCTGCGACACCTGTATTAATTATTGTTTAATATACAGTGAATAAGATTAATAAAACCAAGGTGTCCCAGAAAACCAAGTTAGTACCAATACTGTTACTGAAGACAAAAAGTGAAAAGAATCACTTGTTATAATAAATAGATCAAATAATTTCATGGAAAGGAAAAAAAATCCCCTCTGCATTCATAAAAAGGAACTACATAATGTTTATTAAAATATATAAAAAGACAAAATACATTTATGCACAATTATATCCATGATGAAATATGCATATAGAGTACAAATATTATACAGTAAAATGTGTTTACATATAAAGTTTTTTATTTTTATACATAGAGGAATATATTTTTGCATTAGAACTGGCAGTGGTGATTTTATGCTCCCCCCCTCCCACAACAAACCCAAACACGAAGCCCCAGGGCCAACACAATTCGTCCCACCTTGAAAGTGGGGCGTTTGTGAAAAGCTCTGGAGCAGCAGCACCTTTACACCTGAGATCTGCATTTCTGGAAAAGTCTCACATGGAACAACTATTTAGACATATACCGTAGCTTCATAGGACTATAATTGAGGAAAGTGAATGACACAACAGAAGTCATCAAAGTTTCTTCTTTACTGGTTCCCTTAATAGATATGTGGTAGGAGTGCAGGGTTTCAAGTAGAACATCTAGAGAAAATACTGAAAAATATTAGGTCTGCTTTGTTTTGGGCTTTTGCTGCAATTGAACACCACCGTACTGCTAAGCAGACATCATCCCCATCAGACAACTTGGTTGCTTAGCACAGCTGTTCTCAGGATACTTCTGTAAAGTTTGCCAGAGGATTTAGCGTGACGTATTTCCATTGGATGAGTCCTTCTAGTGTGGTTGGTCCTGTAATGGTCCAGTTTTCATTCGCATATTATGCTGTCATGTTTGGTGGTAGTGGTGGTAGTGGTGGTGGTGATGGTGTTCATGGTGATGGTGATGCTCATGGCGCTGCACCATGGGAACCACAAGCCCTGGGCTCCCAGGGGGGCAAGACACCTGCTCCCTCTCCATGTTTGGCAGCACTGAGGGCTGCTGGTGGGACTGAGGAGTCAGAGGGGTTTTGGTCGGGGACAGGGAATCACGAGCTCTGGCCTTTAGCCGTTTGCTGTGGCTATGCTGCAAAGGGTGCTGGTGGTGACCTGAAGGTTGAGACTGGTGTGGTAGGTGGTACACATCCTGACCTCCCTGACCTGCAGCGCTGCCGCCATGCAGTATCGCTTGGCCGGGGGGGTGGTGGCCGTGGCATTTGCTGGATTTGCCTCCACCGTTATTCCCTCCACTTCCCTTGTAGGCACCTTTAGGGGATTTGAGGAACTGTGTGCCTTTGGCTCGAGGCTCTGAGGGGTTGTAGCTTTCACCGATGACCTGTGAACGACGGTGGTGGACAACCTGGGCTTCTGGCTCATGGGAACGAGAGCGACTCTGGCTTTGTGAGCTGCGAACATGAGACTCCTGAGTGGGATAGTCTGGGTTGGTTCCTGAAAGACACCACAGGTGAAGGTTATATGAAGTCAAATTGTAAATTAACTATCTATCTTGATCTGTCTATCTATACCCATCAATCTGCAAAATATCTTTGGTAAAATCAAAAGTTACAACGGTAAACACAAAAAGTTGCCTGGTTGGAGTTTCAGTGCAAATAGCATCTGGAGCATGAATATTATGGACTATGCCAAATAAAAAATATGCAACAACATTTTAGTTCTGAATAAAGCTAAGGATGCATTGTATAAATTAACACCACGTAGTTTATATTAGTGATTATGGGAATTTAAAAAATGTGTTTAGTTTTATATTAGGCTAAAAAGGAATTGTTTTGCAGAGACCTTTCATCCAATTGCAATGATGGAAGGAAAATATGAACTACATTACTTAACATTTTGTAGTAAAACTAAGAAAAACTCTGATATTGGGAAAACAAAACATTATTTACAATACAAAAATGATTTTAAAAAAAATAACAGCGATATAATGCCTTATTTTTCAAAGATAAGGATTAAAGGTATAGTGGAGGATTATTGCGTATTTTTGAAAAGATCGGCCCTCAATACAAAAAAAGACACATGGACAACCCTGTACCCACTCCCAAGAGGGAATGCCTATAAAATGAGTGCGAGAGCATGCATAAGCCCATTTCTCCTCATACACGCTCTGTTAAAAAGTTGCTGTTTGCATCGCTCATACAAGCTTACTTTCCAAAAGAAGATTTGCTATTTTTCCACAATGTAAAACTCACCACCGGTAAGTGAAAATTGGGACGAGCACATAGGACGGCCGTACGTAAACATATCACCAGAATGATTGACAATTAGGAGGACCATTTATTTTGTTGATCCACCCTGAAAAAGAACATCCTCCACTATACCTTTAATGATTTTTTTTTTTTTTTAAGATATAGCTTCAGTTGAGCCTGTGTCTGACTTTGTGGCTTGAAAATTGCTGCCCACTGTAGGGATGTCTTATATAAATATCAGATATGAGTCCGATGTTAGCCAAAAAAAAAGAAATCACAATATATCAGCCTGCATCTAAAATCTCTGATATAAGCACGCTGATAGAAACACTCTATGTAACGCTCTATGTAACCTATTAGTTAATAATCTGTTGTTCTCATACGTTTTGTTATCGACTATTGTTCTCTTGTGAAAAGTCGTTTGAATGATAAAGCTTGATGAAGCCTTTTCAAACATTCCACACTACAAAATAATTCATACAAGTTTTTAGAATCTGTGCTGATACAATATGCTGTCAATATCCATATCAGTGCATACTTAAAGCTGCATTATCTCTATTGTATAAGGAAACATCTACCATATACAGTATGTTTAATTGACAAACCAAAGTGAACTGACCTTCAAATCTGGACGTGTAGTTCTCAATGCCAGCCAGGTCCAGGTAGTGATTCCTCCTCTCTGTGTTCTCGTCCACGCAGTAATGCTGGCCCTCAGCGGCTGGAGGCTCGCTGCTCTGAGCCTTACTACTGCAGAGCAGTAAATAAAAATCATCTTCGCTTTTACACTTTTTTTATGAGTGAAAACATCAGACAAGGTTTCAAATAAGGACTAACCTGAAGTAGGAGGAAAGACGCTTGTCAGACGAACGGCCCTCATCATGGTGACAGCGCTCTGAAAAGATTAAAGTTATAGTTGAATAATCACAATTAACTTTGGATACGTAATAATTAGGCCTAGATCCTTGTATTTATTAAAATTTCCACAAAAAAGTATCAGATATCCAATTTTCAGTTCACATCTCAGCTGTGCGTAGAGAATTAATCCTCCAAACTGATCTGAAAGACTTCTCTAAAATGAATTTCTAAAGGAATTCTATGAAAATATCTTCAGATGTTTATTTAGAAAATTCATGAGTTTAAATTAAAAAATGTGTTACTTTTCCTCCTTCACATAAGTAGACATATGACAACTCAGAAATTTTAATACCAAAAAAAAAAATCAACTTTTTTTTTTAATCAAAAAATTTTTCTATATGTATAAAGACCAAAACAATTACTATTTAGCAGTGTAGTATAGAGCTATTATTTTTTCTACATCTGAACTAACTCAGATTGACCCCGGTTTAAAATCTATAATACTTAGAAATCTTCATTCAAAACATGATTATCCTAAACTTTTGTGGGATTTATAGATCTTTTATTAAAAAAAATATATATATTAAAACAAGTCTTAATACTTTGGTATTTAAATGAGGTCTGCATAAAGAACCACAAACAGTTGGATAACTATGTCTGATATGATTTAAAGGCAAAACAAATTTTTTAAATGACAGTTTCTTCTGACTGGCTCCATTTTTTTTTGCCCATAGCTCAAAAATAAAGATACTGGAAAAAAAAAAAATAAGAGTACAATATAAACTTACGTAAAATAGTATGTATCTTTTTAGAAATGTTTGTTTTCGTATTAGATTGCGGAATAAGGTATTCCTTCAAACACTTTCTCATTCTTGTGCAAACTTGGGGAAAAAATAAAATAAATAAAAACCCAGAATTTTAAAGGCTGAACAGGAAACAGTAGGTTTATTTTTCAGTCACCTGGTCCTGTATCTCTCCTGTGGCTCCTGGGCTCTGGAGTGACAGTCAGCTTCACGCGCAGGGTCTTGCTCTTGTTATGACATGAGTGATTCACAGAAGCGTCCACCACATCGTAGATGGTGTGCATCAGACTTGACATGTCCTTTTGAGATCCAAAAAAAAAAACAATAGAACTTCAAAATTAAACTATAACCTCATATATAGATGGTTTATTTAGTTTAGACATAGAGGTTTGGAAGCATTACAAAGACAACAACCCAGCCCACATACTTCTTTGGTGACTTTCCCACTGTTGTCAAAGTCATAAAGAGTGAAGATCCACTCCTGACGGTTGTCATCTTCCACAGAAACATCACACTCCACATCCTGAAAATAAACAAAAACATTTATTCCACCTTGTTAAACACAAAAAATCCACCTGTAATCACTGTGATTATGCTCTCAAGGAATGCCGAGGGCAAGACACGTTTATGTTACAGACAGCAGGGGGCAGCAGAGAACAGCTGCAAAGTTCTTTATAGGACAGGATTTTTAGACGGTAAATTAAAAAAAGATAGCCAGAAATTTCCACATGAGAGCAAAGAGAAATAAAATAAAAACTACATATTGCTACTAGGTCTTACATTGACACTGATACGTTTCTTTCCAGAGGTTTTAGAGGTGTCTTTGAGAGGGTCCTTCTCTCCATCCTCTGAGTGTATGTAATGCAGGTAGCTCTCACAGCCCTCTGCCTTCTCTTGGGGAAGAGCCACTGTTTAAGAACAAGAAAGGGAACAAATCAATCAGAAAAAAAAAACATCTTGTTTAATGCAAGAGGATCTTAGACCCTCACAATAAAAAATCTGATACAGTGAGTTATTTTAAGGTAAAGGGGTCCTCCTAATTGTCCTTTGTGGTCGTTTACAGTTAGCTGTCTTTTTCTGCACATGTGCACTTTCAGGCATATATATGTTTCAGACAGTCATTGAAGCTTGCCTTTCTCACTGCAGTTCTTTGAAAATAGCAGATGGTCATAAGAGAAAAAGTGTCAAGGAAGTGTATGAGAAGAATAGAAAGGACTCAGAATAGAGAAACCAAACTAGAGTGTTTTTGGGAGATCCTTTCACGCCATGGTGTACACTGAAAGCACAGGTGGTGCTTCCAGGGAACTTTCCAGGGAAGATAAGTTTATTTATTTTGTAATTTGCATCATTAGTAGTTATACGGTAGCCACAGATCCTTGTTTACCCCACAAACATATCCAAATTCCCACTGCAGCACACACCCATACACGCAGGTCTTGATTTTTTTAATGTACCAGTAGTCTTATTTGCGGGGAAACTTTTTATATACAAATATGGAAGGAGTGAGATCCATCTGAGCGACCGTCTTATCATTGCGTCCCTGCACCTGGAGAAATGGGCTTGTGCATGCTCTCACCCGCGTTTAATAAGCGTTTTTGAAGTGGAGAGTCTTTTTAAAAAATAGCTAAAATCCTCCAATATACCTTTGATTTGATCTTTTGGTCTGTAAATGTGGTGTCCAAAAACTTTAAAGCAGAACTATTATGAGAGCAACCTTATTAAGCAGTTATCAACATTCCCTCAAAAAGATATTTGGAAGAACACCTAAATCAATCCTAATTGTACGATCAATGATTGATTGGCTGCGTCTGTAAGGCTTTTTATTTGTTTTCCAATAATCTCTTTAAGAGTTCAAGTGGTATTTTATACTAATCTCATTGAAAACAGACAAAAATATGATATTACCAACAACTGAGCAAGCTGTCAAACATCTCGTCTTCTCCACTTACCCTCTAGGGGACAGTGTTGGTCTATGAACTGCCCTTCCTTCAGCTCAGCATTTGGAAACTCCTGGGAAAAATGAAAAGAAATACACAGAGGATTGGGGGGTCAGAGATGTAAGTGAATCTACAGTTCAGACCACAGACACAGAGAAAACAAACAGTTCCAGCTAAAGCATTTCCTACTCAGATGAGCAGCAGAGGGCTCCAGGCTCCAGCATGGCCAAACACTTTGAACATCTGCATGCTTATTGTGTTTCACTGTCTGGGACGCAGCGAGCGCGGCCACAGCCAAGCTTTCAAGATTCCTTCGAGCCCTTCAAATGGATCCCTCACATCCATCAAAAAGCCCCCGATGCACTTCATCATCTGAGCTTCCTCTGCCTCTCACTCTCTCAGCCAACCTGTTTATTCTCATCTTCCATGACATGAGAGACCCACTGAGAAGCGTTTGATGGAAACCCAGAGTTTAGGAAAAAAAGTTCTGTTGTATTGCTTTTCATTTTTTTTTTTTTTTTTTTGTAGCTTAACTCTGAAAAGTTTGGCTTATGTGCAACAAGCCACAGAATGGCGTCTGGGTAGCGTTTATGTTGAATGCCAGATGGAAAAATGTCCTTGTAGATAGGATGAAACTCACTAATTACACCAGTGCAGAAACAAAAGAGGGATGGAAAGGAAAAATAGTCGACTAACTCATATCTTACATGAAACTGGAGCGCAAAGCATTCTGCACATGGGCTAATTCAAAGGCACACAGAGGGAGATGCAACACACACACACTAGGGGCCTTTTCTAATTACAAGTGCATTGTGGAAACAATGAAAATTAAGTGCAGCACAGGCCTTAAACCACAAATATTTAAACAACAAATGATTCAACTTATTTACGTCATTCCCTGTTCCTCTAAGCTGCTCAGCAGGCTTTGAAATAAAATCGCACCAGTTTGAATCAAGGAGGCCCACTGAATTGAGACAAATAAAAAACAGACAGGGTGCTGGAAAACAAAAGAACTCCGTGTACCTTTTGACGGAGCCGGGGTTCGAGCGAGAACACCAACATCTGCATGTGTTTAGGTGAGGCGAGACCCCTCCCCGTTTACCCCCTCTGCCTCTCAGAATAATCAGAGCGCCAGGCCCTGCTGTGGTTCTGTTTAAAGACGCTGATTATTCTGGATTTCAGCATACCTCAGGACCTTAATCTGGTCGTGACCTTCAGAGCAAAATGGGAGGCTGTCTGATAAGTCTCAGAGGTCTGGGCCCGGATGGCCAATGGAGGCCCTGGGAGACGAACAGGAGGAAGGAGATAGGCAAAGTAGGGATAAAGGGGAAGAAGGAGGGAAGATCAGAGGAAGAAAGAGAAGGGAGCGAGGCTGATAAGAGGAGTGTGGCAGAGGAGGATGCAGTTGGCAGATACGACCAATCTGTTGGTTTCTTTAGACTTGTGAAGCTCAGTGGAAATGATGGGAGGCTGGGAGTAATGGAAGCAGTTTTCGTTTTATTTATCTTTTTTTTCCGTCATAAACAAAGATCCCTTAATCATAAAGGACGCATTCTTGAAAGAAAAAGAAAGAAAATGTGTATTTATATACACAAAACACACAATATCCATCTTTTGTGGTTTCCCCTGACAAGTTGTTGTTTTCCTTCTGATCTGGAAGCTTTTATCCCCTCCCTTTTATCCTGCAGTCCCCCTAATGAAGGCCAGTATGTAAAGACTCAGAGGAACATCAAAAACAGCCATCGATTCCTCCTCCGCTCATTCCCATAAGGTATTGGAGCAAACGGTGAGCACGGCTAAATTAAAGACTTATCTTTTAAAGGTGGACAGATCACGTTTTTCCTGGCTGAAGAATATTCATTTCCAGAATTCTTTGATCATATCAGATTTCTTCTTATACACATCGTGAAACATAAATTAGGAGGGAAACACGCAGAAGGTTTTTAGATGGAGGCAGTGTTTTTTTTTTATCCAACAGAAAATAAAGGAAATACTAGATTATTGCTCTTTATGCATCAGATTTAGCTTGATTTGAATGCCTTGTTTGCAAATGTAGGAAATGCAGAAGACGTCTTCAGGGTAAACACAATACTGAGGGAACCAGCAGGGCTTGTGCCGACCACATGTCCCTTTTCCAATGGCACCGGCCCCACCTCCATGCTCATTACATCCATTGGTGGAGCTAATGAGAAAGCAGCCTGGACCTAACCGCAGTCTGCAGTTTAACATCTAAACACATCTCCCTCCACATCGCCCACGGTGTTGGGATTAAATCTGCCCTCCACATGTGCAGTTCACTATTCACTCACAATAGCTTTCATTTTTCACAATCAGATCATAAACATCTCTCCTGCCTTTATTTTTAGGTCAACCTCCTCTGTAGGTATCTTAGAAAGAAATATTTTTAAATCGAGGGTACAGCTTGAATTCCCTGAGAGTTAAGGTGAAAGAAACGTCTTAAATGTACATATGTTGAGGAAGAAACTTCAAGAAAAAGTTATCAGATCTCCATTAGCTGGAAGTATGCAGTGACAGCGTTCTGTGTAAACACACTGCTTCTGCAACGCCTAACTGTAAGAGAGAAAGAAAAATGTGTGATGTTTGTTCCTGTTTAATGCCGCCTTTCTGCCAAACTTCCCTAAAGCCTCCGTCTTCTGCCAGACTTTTATGTGGGATAGAGTAACCAGGGGAAGCTTTCATAGCTCCCTACCAGGTGACATCAGACATCCCCCAGCAGTCTACACACCCCCCTCCCACCTCCACCACCCCCTGCCTGCCTGCCACCCATCCTCCCTCTAGAAAACACTGCACATCTTTGTTCTCACATCCCCTTCTCTGGCTCCCCCCACTAAAAATAAAGTGCTTGCACTTCTTTAGGGCCACGCTCCAGACCTTATGATGCAATTTAAAAAAATCGTGCTTTAAAAAACACGGGAGGCCGACATTAATATTGTTTACACACTTCCTCTGCCCTCGGGTGAGGAAATATGGCAGCTTGATCGGATGTCTCAACGCGTGTCGAAGTACAAACATATGCTGGAAACACACAAAAAAAGGATGCAACTGTCCTCTGCCTGCGGTTTTGAATTTGTGGATCTTTTTTGTGCTCAGGGTTGAGCAGGAGTAATTGTTATTCTTGATACATTCTGTAAAATTTATGGGAATCTTTATGTTGCTCTAAGAAATCCAGGTCAAGAATCTAGGATATCTTGTATTTAATGTTAAATGGTGCATTAGGAGGTAAATGCTAGGAGGTTATTACATTTCACCGGGCGCCAGCGGGAAACGCCTCGAGACCACCAGCCAGGAGACCAGCATTACCCCTCAACCCCAATATGAACTGCAAATTATCCTGGTGTTTCCCATTTAAGAAAAATCAGGATCCAAATGTTATTACTACAAAGAAGGGAAGATTCGTTTGTAAACAAGCTGGATTTAGTCGCACATTCCTGAGATTAAAACTAGAGGGACGGGGGCCATTCAAAAATAAAAGCCCTCCGTTCCAGCTGAAACCAACCTGGCCTCGACTCAAAACCAGATGTGAGCGGTTCAACTGGAAAGAGGCAGAGCAAAGGAGAAGGAGGGGGAAGGGGCTGATGCCTGAAACATTTTGGGGTCTGAAGAGAACGAAGAGCAGATTAACAACCTCCGGCAATTTCTGTCTTCTACTTATCAACCAATAAAGCGTATTGGAAACTGAAATCATTGAAATTCTGAGATTTACATGTCTTTGAATGCTAACCGTTTCAAAATGAAAAAAAGGATAATTTTAAATATTAGTAGATCTACTTTTTCTTAGGTTAAACTTTGGATCAAGGCCTCAAACTTTCAGATATTTCCAGGCAATAATGTCCAATGTTTAAGCTGCTCTTTGAAAAGCTGTTACCTTGGGAGGCTGATTCAGCCGAAAAGTTTGTTTTAAATCAGTGAGCTGCTTGGAAAAAAAAAAAAAAATCAGAGCGAGCACGTTAATGAAAACATTGTTTTCTTTGAAGTAATGTCAGTTATATCAGGGATTTTTTCTTTTATTCTTTTTCTTTTATTTGACCAGTTTTGCCCGGATGAGATTACAGAGAAGTTTTGCACTTGCAATTTCTGGAAAAAAAAGAAATTGGACTTTAGCAGATAACAGGAAGGCAGAATGTGTTATGAAGTTTTTGCGTCATCCTCTACTGCACAGAGAATATGCTTAGAATTTAAAGAAACTATTTTAAATAACAATGCAATACTGTTCACAAACAAACTCATGCCAGCTTTGCTCAAAAGCATAAATTAATGAATAAATTACATTCTCGAACAGAAAGGATGTATATGGATCCAGTATAGTCATGAAAAATGAATAATGACTTTACAATTTTCTAAATCTAACAGTTCATCTGACCTTTTCCCTTTGAAATATAATGTTCCTTATAGCTGCTCTTTAACTAAAATGAATTTTGTGTTAAAAAAATAAAACTAAAAAAATAAACATGGGAAAGAGCTAATCTTCTAATACAGAAAACAATCTTTTGGATTATATTCACTCAAATATCTCCTGAACGATTTTAAAGTGGAGGAATGAGCCATAGTCCAGACTTTATTTTGATAGAAAATCTGTGGAGGGACCTAAACAAAATAGTGATGGTGTCAAAAAGCTCAACCACAAAGAAAAAGGGTCAAAACAGGCCTACCAGAGGTAACATGCAAAAATTTACTAAGCAATTAAAAGATGGCTTCAATTTCCTTAAAGTCCAGGAAAGTCTTCTGCCAAGCAGTAAGAAGTTATATATCATTTTTGACCCTTCGTTTTTAATTTAAGGTAAATAAAAACAGATATTTTATTCTTTAAAGTAGAATTCTTTATAAAGCCTATTATCTTTAGAAAGATGCCCGCTTACATTTTCTATCAGAAAAGCAATTCCTTGGTGGAGTCATTTTCAATACAAATCTGCCAGAGTTACTCTTAACTGTGGTTCTTAAAGAGTTTCAAATAAAATTGTAATCTCCAAGTCAAGATTTTGCAAAAAGACAAATCAGTTACACATCTCTGACTGAATCACCTCTGGTTTAAAAAGATGTTAACGTTAATACCTA